AGAATTTGGAGTCAACCCGAAAGGACCCTTTCGCTTCTTGCATGCTTTGGGGTGGGATACTTTGCTGGCATGTTCATTTTTCTGTGTTTGTTTACTATCTATAGTTGTTGAAATAGAAATGTACTGTGTTGGCAAGCTGACACAGCGTCTTGCTGGTCACCTTGCCAGGTAAACTTTGAATACTGAGCTTTTAATAAAAAGATAAAGAAGAGACCCTTTGCTTGGTGTGTCTCAGCCAGCGCTCAGCGTTTCCCAAACTTACATCTTTCGCCTTTGGTGAGGAGGCAACACTCAGAGGACACGGACCAGAGGGGGGGGGACGACACATTTTTCTCACAACAATAGGTGCTGGTTGTTTCCATGGCAGGCGCCCATGCAGATAGGCACATGCAGTGGAGTGCAAAAACAGCCGCTAACAGCCCACCAGGGGCGGGCCAGCAATGCAAACGCTCCCTTGCGCTTCCTCCACAGTATCCTCCCGCTTCAGTTGCTGCAGTGTGAACGGCCGTTCTGGGTCTGTTCTGGGTCTTCTTTGATGCGACACCCTAGCACTGCAAACTGCCAGTCTGAACGCGGCCATAATGTAGCAACCACAGCATTTATACCATGTACTGCTTCAATGTAGATTTCTATGAAGCAAAAACAAGGTTTCTTTATCAACTCATATGCTCACTGAGAATCTTTAGACAACAGTTTGGCCGCCGCAGCCCAAGCAGAGGCTTGGCCTTGCCTGTGGCAGAATAGGGTGGGAAGGAAAGCAGAACTGGTTAGCACTTTCAGTCAGTTCCGGTTGGGGACCAGGGGGTCATCAGGAACGGCCCCAGGGCTGTAGTGCTTAGGGCTAGGAATGGTGACCACCTCAGGGAGCCTCTTGGGTAAGCTCCTCCCTGAGGCTGTAGGGTTTCAGGGGTAGGTGCTCCTGGGGGGTGACCTGTGTGCTGGGCTGCCGGTCGCGGGCCAGAGTAGGGCCCTAGACTGGGGCTAGTGACTTGCCCATACATCTAGGCAAGGAGGTTGCTGGAGTGACACCTGCCTGACCTGTTCTGCTCTCACTTAGTTCCCTTGCTGTTGATTTATTATGCAAAATAAATAGTTAATAAAGTGGTCCTTGTTTGAATTCCAAACAGTTGTCTGTCTCATTATTTCCAGCTCAGGGGGCAAATCATATATCTTCTTTTTATGGTGTATAGAAAATTGTGAGCTGTCCTTTGGTAACTTGAAACTTGGACCTCCAAGCCATCAAATATTTTCCTCTTCCTATTCTGCCTTGATTCTTGTGCTATTTCTGAGCTGAGTTCAACCTGGATCTACTAATCTCATTCCCAGCAGCGTATCTAGCCCATTTTGTGCTGCTATTTTTATCAGTTCAAAAACACAGTTAATAACTTTTCTCAAGGAAGGGAATTTATTTTCAAACTGTTTTTTCCAGTTGTTCCCTTGGGGGTTTTTTTGCAATGTGCAGTGAAGCAGTGTGGCTTGTAATAAAACAATAAAAGGCATCAAGTGGTAGTGGGGATACGGGTCCAGTAAAGCTTGAGAAAAGATACTCTGAAGAAGTAAGCAATGACTCACAAAAGCTCACACTCTGCCACAAATTTTTGCTAGTCTTTAAGGTGCTACTGGACTCTTGCTCTTTTCTATTGCTACTACGAACATGGCTACCCATCTTGATCTATCTCCAGTGCAGCTTGAGAAGAAGTTTTCCAAGTACACCTGAAAAATGTCTTTCCAATCCTACTCATTTCTGAATTGCTCTACTTGGACAGCACAGTAGCAACTGAAGTAATAGCCAACTATATAGAAGAAACACTGGTGATTGGAGCTCCTTAGCAAAGCTACTTTTTAAAGCAGTTCCAGCTCCAAATATTTATCTTGAAAACCCAGCAGCACACCCTAAAGAGAGTTACATTCTTCTAAGCGCATTAAAACCAACGGGCTTAGGCTGTTTCTGCACTGGGTTTTATGCTTCTTCACCCAAAGAGAGATTAACACTTGGAATTCACTGCCACAGGAAGTGGTGGCGGCTACAAGCATGGACGGCTTCAAAAGGGAATTAGATAGGCATATGGAGCAGAGGTCTATCAGTGGCTATTAGCCCCAAGGTATAGATAGGGGCTCTGGGGCAAGTGATGCTCGGTCTTCTTGGTGCTTGGGGGGGGCAACAGTGGGAGGGCTTCTAATGTCCTGGCCCCACTGGTGGACCTCCTGATGGCACTGGTATTTCTGGCCACTGTGTGATACAGAGTGTTGGACTGGATGGGCCTTTGGCCTGATCCAACATTGGCGTCTCTTATGTTCTTATGTTCTTATCAGTGTTTGCTCTCCTCACAGCCGTCATGCGTCATGGCATTTTTTACATTCCACATTGCCTCCCTCTTTTGAGTTGCCCTATATTTTTATTTCTGCATCACCTCCAGTGTTTGCTCTCCATTATCATTGGGTTATTTTTCAATTCTACATTGTTCAGCTGTCAGTTCAGCTCCCCCTGCTGTTTCTGCAGGGTATCTGAGTGCTGGTTTTTTGGCAAACTTTAACCACGCTGGGGTAATGCAGTGTAGAATCAATCCTTTGAAGTATTCATCCCCACCCCTTTTCTGGCCCCCTTGAAAGCTACTCCTCACCCCACCCCTTTTCCAGCCCCCTCAGACCAGACGCCATTCCTCCACCCACCCGCTTCTGCATCCTCCCGGAGAAGTAACAGGAGTCCTTTGTTGTGCTAAGTTGCACATGAAGGGAAGGTATTGCATGGGCGGGGAACATGCTTTGAACTGGTTTTGGTTCTAGATGCATTGTGCATTATTCACATAATTTGTGATTCCTGGGAGAGGGGGAAATCCAGAGGTGCAGAATTGCAAGCACTTAATTCAGAATAAAGGCAAACAGAATTGGTTACTGAGAAATGGTGGGGTAAATATGCATGCAGAAAAGGCCTTGGAAGGCTGTAATTCTAGTTGTAATTGATAATGAATGTGACATACTAAGGTATATTTAGTAGGAATTACTCCCAGGAAAGTGTTCTTAGGATTGCACTGTAAGTCTAGAGAAAATATAATTAGCCTAACTTTGAACTAATATTGGAACTAAGTCACCACAGGACATTCTTTATGGGGATTACTGCTGTCATTTACCTTCAGTTGTTTTACTTTACCAAGGGTGAAGACTTATCTTACCTATTTTCTTCACTGTTGTAACAGGTATATAGTAGACAAGAAGAAAAAAAGCAGTGCATCCATCACAATTATATAGAAATAGTCGGAACTCACAAGGATTTGCAGGGGAGCATCTCATTTCCCCTCTCTCACTATTTCCTCTTTACTGTCCCTGAAAGCCCCTTTCCCTTTCCTTAAATCCTCTATAGCTTCTCTCCTTTTCTTCTTTCTTTTATAATATTTATTACAGGTTTTCCCCATCAGCAAAAGCAAAATAAAAGGTATATACAACTTATACAATCGAGAGATTTTAAAAATAGGGTCTTAATATTTCAAAGTATCTTACTATAATTTTCCAATAGGACTTCAATAGTTACATTCAGTAATTGCACTTTTAGATAAAACAACATATTCTTAAACAAAGCTAGTATATAGATTCCTTGGAATTTCTTTATAGCATGATAAAAAAGTTAATATGGGTTGCCAGGTGTTTTCAAAAGTAATTACAGCTCTAGAAGAGGGTGGATTCATAATATTAAAGGCCATCTTAGTCTGCACATATTGCTCCCAAATCTTTTTACACCACAGATCCCAGGTAGGAGACAAAGACACCTCCCAAAGCGAGACAGTAGAAGATTTGGCTGCCGAAAGCAACATCATTAAAATACATTGTTCTATATAAGAATAGTGGTCTCCCACCAACTCCAAACCTAGTAATAAGCATTCAGGCATAAAATATACAGAATATCCAGTAATTAATTTATGTTATCGAGAACCATCTTCCAAAAAGTTTGTAGAACCGGACAGAGGAGCCAACAATGTATATAGGACCCCTCCACCCCACATTTTCTCCAACACATAGGACTCAATTGAGAATTTGAATATGCAAGTGTTTTGGGGGTCAGGTACCACCTTGATATAATTTTAAAAGATTGATATCATATTACAATTGTCGAGGATTGGAATGTTATTGAATTCCAAATATTATTCCAATCCTCATCTTGAAGTGGGGTGCCTCAGTCCTTTTGCCACATTCTTTGGTAAGGTTAGGGTGTTGATAAATCTAGTCCATCAAATAATCAAAATCAATCCTTTATGTTTTCCAGAGTGTCATTGGAGAATGTGCTCCAAGCTCATCAAAGGCTGCTGCAAAATTCGCTGAATATCAATCTGAGAGCACATGTGTCATAGTTGAAGGTAAGTATACCACTTCATCGTACCATGTAACTTATTTTTAGAGAGGTCTTGTTCAATAACTGTTTACCATCTGTAAGATCTTTTTCCAACTACAGAGATCAGTTCCTTCTTTGAGTTGCCAGCTCCAGGTTGGGAAATTCCTGGAGATTTGAGGGGGGAGCCTTGGGGAGGTGAAGCTTGGGGAGAGAAGCAACCTCAGAAGAGTATAATGCCATAGAGTCCATCCTCCAAAACAGCCATTTTCTCCAGGGGAACTGATCTCTGTCATCTGAAGAACAGTTGTAATTCCAGGTGATCTCCAGCCCTCACTTTGAAGTTAGTAACCCTAGTTCCCCTTTCTCATTAGCAACCCCTATATCCTCTCCCTTTCCCCTGCCTCAGTGTCTTCTTCTCAGCCATTCACCAACCTACCTTTTATCTTTAGTGATGTTCAGTCACACAGTTGAGTCCGACTCTCCACAACCCCATGGACCACATCACGCCAGGCCCTCTTGTTTTCCATCATGCTTTAGAGCCTGCTTAATTTCATGTTCATTGCATCGATAACACTATCTATCTCATCCTTTGCCATCCCCGTCTTCTTTTACCTTCAGTCTTTCCTAGCATCAGGGTCTCCTCCAGTGAGTGCTCCCTTCTCATTTGGTAGCCAAAGTATTTGAGCTTTAGCTTCAGTCTCTGGCCTTCCAGGGAACAGTTAGAGTTGATTTCTTTTAGGATTGACTGATTCAATCTGCTTGCAGTCCAAGGGACTCTTAAGAGTCTTCACCAGCACCATAATTTGAAAGCATCTATTCTTCGGCGCTTGGCCTTCCTTATGGTCCAACTCTCACAGCCATACATGACTACTGGGAATACCATTGCTTTGACCATACGGACTTTAGTTGGCAGGGTGATGTCTCTACTTTTTATTATGCTGTCTAGGTTTGCCATAGCTTTCCTCCCAAGGAGCAGGTGTCTTTTAATTTCATAGCTGCAGTCTGTCAGCTAACACTGCCATAGCTTGAAATGTGTGGGGGGTGGAGGCCTGGGGCTTGCTCATCTCCCTCCTTTCCTCCCTTCTCCACTGCAGCCACTTATCTCAGCAGGTGTCCTTGGAGTGGCGGTGTCTCCTAGCCCTCCTTTTCCCACTGGAAAGCTAAGGGCCCTGCTTTAGCCCACGCTGCAGGGTGCCTGCTTATTGGCTTGGTAGCATCAGGGGGTCTCCTCTGAAGGGGATATATCCTCTGGGGTTCATGCCTTCCCCTCCATTCCTGACACAAGAGTTTAAGGTGTCTCATGTACTTTCTCCATAAATAAACTGAATCTACTGAAGATCCTGGTGTTGAGTGTGATTGACTGGGAACTCTGACACAGTCACCATCTGCAGTGATCTTGGATCCCAGGAACATGAAGTCTGTCACTTCTTCCATGACTTCCCCTTCTGTTTTCCAAGGAGTGATGGTGCCGGATGCCATGGTCTTAGTTTTCTTAATGTTGAGTTTCAAGCCAACTTTTGCGCTCTCCTCTTTCATTCTCAGCAAGAGGCTTTTGAGGTCTTTTTCACTTTCTGCCATTAGAGTGGTACCGTCTGCATATCTGAGATGGTTGATGTTTTTTCCCGGCAATCTTAATTCTGGTTTGTGATTCATCCAGGCTGGCATTTCGCATGATGTACTCTGCATATAAATTAAATAAGCAAGGGGACAATATACATCCTTGTCGTACTCCTTTTCCTATGCTAAACCAATCAATTGTTCCATATCCAGTTCTAACTGTCGCTTCTTGACCCTTATACAGGTTTCTCAAGAGACATGTGAGGTGGTGTGGTACTCCCATCTCTTTAAGGACCTGCCATAGTTTGTTGTGATCCACACAATCAAAGGCTTTAGCATAGTCAGTGAAGCTAGAGGTAGATATTTTTTTGGTACTCTCTTGCTTTCTTCATAATCCAGTGAATGTTGGCAATTTGATCTCTAGTTCCTCTACCTCTTCGAAACCCAGCTTGTACTTCTGGAAGTTCTCTATCCACATACTACTGAAGCCTAGCTTGTAGGATCTTGAGCCTGAGCTTGCTAGCGTGTGAAATGAGTACAATTGTGCAATAGTTTGAACATTCCTTGGCATTGCCCTTCTTTGGGATTGGAATATAAACTGACCTTTTCCAGTCCTGTGGCCACTGTTGCATTTTCCAAATTTGCTGCACTTTTTGAGTGCAGCACTTTAACAGCATCATCCTTTAAGACTTTTATCTGCCTCCCACCTTTAACTATATATATTATTTATTAATTTATACCCCACCTTTCTCCACAGTGGGGACCAAAGCTGCTTATGGCCCCGGTCACACAGGCCGGATATCGCAGGGGGGAGGCGTGGCTGTTTGCCCCGGAGCAAACTACCGTGCGGCCGCCGGATCAAACGTCCCGCCGACGTCCTGTGGTTTGGGGGGAGGTGCCGATCATACATCAATCCTGCGGTGTGGGAAAGAAGCGGCACGGCGGGGGTTGTGGGAGTTTTTAACCGAACTGTGCGCATGCGCCGTTGGGTGCTTGTGCACATCCCGTGGAGACTTGAAAAAAACTTTTTGCGGCGGGACATGGGCAGGCACCGTATGCCACAAGCTACCAATGTGATCAGACACCCACCCTTGCCCCGCGGTTCCCAGAAACTAGTACCTCCGAGGTACTCGTTTTTTATGACACATCTTCGGCGGGAAGCCTCGGGTTCACCATGGGAGTTCTATGCTTCCCAGATGTTGTAGTTTGATCGCACCCAGAAAATCCGCCTATCTTCCATCTCTGTAGCGTGGCTAATGCTTCGTGTGACCACAGCCTATATTACTCCACTCTACTCCTTTTTATTTGCACAATAACCTTGTGAGGTAGGTTAGGCTGCAAGTATGTGACTGGTCCAAAATCACCCAGTGAGCTTCCACAGCAAAATAGGGTTTCAAACCTGGGTCTCCCAGACCCAGTCTGAAGCTCTAACTGCAATACCACACTTACTTTCATATGGTGGCTGCTGTTGGACAGTAGCAAGCAGCCAGGCCTAGTTGAGTTATGCAAATTGAATTTCTAGGCCTAGGGTTGCCAACCTCCAGGTGATCTCCCAGAATTACAACTGCTTTCCAGACAACAGACCTCAGGTAAGAGTTCTGTCTTGCTTCGATAGAATCAGCACCAAAAGAGTTTTATAATCCCTCTTTCTCCACCCATGAACCAGGTCAAGCTGAGCAAAAGAAATTTTTCCTGAAGTCTTCAGGTAATTTTTCTTGTAGTCTTTCTAGCACTTAATTCCTCCAAATCTCTGTCCCCTGCTAGATATCACCTATCTAGCTAGTGGTGTTTGACCATCTCATTGTTTCTAGACAGACTGCTTGACATTTCTAAAAGGGTGGATGAGGTAAGGCTGGAAAGCAATTGAATTGACTTCCCCCCTCCTGCCTGATCTCTGCCAAGAGAGAGAAAAAGTTTAAAACTCAGAGTGAAGGTTTTGCTCAGTTCAGACCTCCAAAGAAAAATGCATTTCTTCACAATCACTGTCAAATGTATTTATTTATTTATTTTATTTATACCCCACCTTTCTTTCCAGTGAAGACCCAAAGTGGCTTACATTGTTCTATTCTCCTCCATTTTATCCTTACAACAACCCTGTGGGGCAGGTTAGACTGAAATGTGTGACTGGATTAAGGCCACCCAGAAAGCTTTCATGCCAGAGTGAGAATTCAAACCTGGGCCTTCCAAATCCTGGCCTGATATTAACCACTATACATGCCATGTGGATGACCAGGTGTACATTTTTAAGGTCCCCCTTACATCCATGCCATTTTCCTTTCCTCAACCAAAGACCTGGGGGAAATATATTTTGTTTTAAGATCAGTAATTACTGGATTGTTTTCATTGTAAAATGGGTTAGAGACTGGGAATTCGAAGTACCTTATAGATCATGGCAATAGATCATTAAAGCATTATAATGCTCTAAGTATCTAGAAATTACTGTTTTCAAAAGGCCAGAAAAAGCACTTTGGTTACATGAGATGAGACGTGGGGGGCAAATGTTGGGTATGGGGTAGTGAGGCAAGAAAAATGTGGGGAACACTGCCACATGGATGCTCTGTTGCTGCTGTGAATGCCTCAACATTCACAACAGCAGCAGCAGCTACACAGCTCAGAACTTTCATCATGTGATGCTTCCAGATAACCTGAATTTCAAATCATACTTTTGTTTTCTTTGAACTATGTGCCTTTTAAAAGTGAAGCTGTTTGCAGATCAGTCATCTGACAAAGCAGCATAATCATGTGAAACAGAAGATCCAAACAGCTCAACGTATCATCATCTCATTGTTTTTTACTTGTGAGAAAGACATGAGCTGAATGAGGGAATGCTCACCACACCACTGTTTGCTGGGGAAAGCGGAAGGGATGGATTGCAGGGGCATGATTAAAAAATTACTACCATCTCTTAAAAAGCATCTTCCCAGGTAGAATTTCATGCATACACTAGAATTTGAACAGTCGCCCATCATCATTTGCTTATGTGAACTGAGACTAACTATACTTCTATTAGCAGATTGTTTGATGGCTTAGCAAATATATATCAAATAGCTGGTGATGGTTAACATTTATATTGCAGATTTCAAGAGAATAAAGTGAGCGCTTTGTATACATTATGTCAGTAAAAATAGTCCTGTACATTTGTCCAGGGTTGTTATCTGGCCTCAGCTTCATGGCATTCCAGTTTGCAGTGGGCATGATAGTAGCTTTGACCTATGATGCCTTATATGATGTGGAACCAGGGTATCTTAACCATTGCTTGTTCTTCACATGAATCTTCCAGTCAGATAAGATCTGTGTAGGGAGAGCTTTCACAGGTCTGAGGGGTAGCAACTGGGGATGGGGGAGGTGGTTGGCATTCTGACTATGGAATTCCATTTTCTCTGGCATCTACTTTATCATTACTTAGGTGTTGGTGGAGTCCACTCTGTTCAGCCATGCTTTCAAGAATATATAATTTAAACGGTTGTT